ACTGTAGTTTCATTGCTCTGAATACTATTTTAAATTATTTCGTTATATCATACATTATCACAGATATATACAGGACAAACATTTGCTCATTTGCGATTTTTCATTTTAGATTGAAAAATTAATAAAAATGACATTGATTTTTAATACTAGCCTATTTGTCTTAAAAGATTAATATTGTAAGATTCTAGATGAAAATAAAAATAAAATCATTTATTTTTATTAAAATTAGAGGGAATTTGCGTTATTTTAACTAGTTAATGATGATACGATGTTAAACTTTCATATTGTGTATGATAACAGTGATCTTTGTAGGTTTTAAATTATAGATAATAATATAAAAACAGCCCAAATAAAAAAGGGCTAATATGTCAAGAATTCAACACTGGAGAGCGTTTCCGACCCAAGCTCCGTTGACTTATTGCAAATATGAAAATAAGTATTCCCAGGACCCCGAGCATCGTTTATTTTTATACTTATTAAGGTAAAACACGCAAAGTATTTCAGGAAATGAAAAATATGATGACTTCATAAAAATCGTTGCCCAAAAATGTCAAATCCATACGTAAACGATTTACGTTGCCACTAGTGAAATGGAACCTCAAAGAAAATTTCCTATCTCAATATCAAACCAATAATACATTATAAAAACCGGAAGTACTACAAGAACGTTTTTGACGCTAAAATAAGGAAAGAAAATACAATTTTTAAAAATTAAAACTGTCAACTCCCTACCTACTAACCGGATATGGGAGAAACAAACTATATGTCCACCGACATAAGGTAATGAATTCTCCAAATTACAACTGTAATAATGAAATGAAACTCCTTAAACAATATTTCACCTCATTACAAAGTGCTCTAGATTTGCCTTCAAAAGACTTAATTACGAATTTCTTATTCACATCCTCATCACAAAGGAAAGTCGGCAATACTTTAATCACGACAAAGGTAGATTGAAAATAATAGTCGAACGAGTCTGGAATAATAATAAATGGTTATATGACTATGTTCTGCATAATGAGTTCTTAATTAGAAAAAAATAAAAAACATGGATAATTAATATATAGGTTGGTACAAAATAACAAATGACACTGCAAATCGTAACAACCATAACAAAAAAATTACTATAATAATATCATTGCTGGTTATTATTTTTAGATTAGGTCAGTGCTTATGCAAATATAGTGAAGTTCAGTTTAAGTAGCGAGTTAAGCGAGTAGCCATTGAAGTACGTAATTTTAAGATATATCACATAATACAGATTTAGTGACATTATTAAAAGTCTGGTATTACTAACGACTGCTAGAGTTTATATCTATATTATGCTTATTTGCAGTTTTTTCCACACATGTTAATATATTTATATGAAATAGTAAAATATTAATTTTATAATCTAACAAACCTGATAAATTATGTAAATAAAAGTAAGACTAAAATACAAAGCCGCGTTTAAAAGCCAATGGACAGCATTAATTGCGCAAATTAACCGAAATACGATAGTTTGTAATTCAGTTAATTAAAATTAATCAAAGAAAATAATAGACTGTAACAAGAGAGCCTCTTATATTGATTTGATCCTAGCGATTTAACTAATTCTCGAACTCATAAACTGAAAGTTCACTTTATAAACTTGTTGCTTTATGTCCTCTCAGTGTAAGGTTCAAAATAGTCTACCTTAAAACCCTATTGAATATGCCTAACTGAAGTCACTGCAGAAGCTTGAAAGGGTTGGTGAAATAGTAGCATTTGTCTGGTATCGCGCCAAAAGGGTGGGTCTACAAAGGAGATTAACAGTGGCGCCCTTCAAAATAATGATGAAGTAGTCCGTATAAAGTTATTAATTCTCTACAAACATCCCAATTGTTTACTCACGTATAAAAGTGTTCTCAATTTTGTTTTATTTTAGTTGTTTGGATATTTTTTTTTTTTAATTTTTAATACATTCTTTTTAGAGTTTATTGAAAGAGATTTCATCTGTATTTATTTTACAAGATTAAATTATTTTTTTCTTAATTATCATTTATTATAAATTTGAACATTGTGCTAAAATGTATAAGGTCTAACGAAAAAAATTGATGACAATGAAAAACTTTGTAGCATATATTTTTTAACAATAATGTATTATAATTAATGAAAATACTTACTACTTACTACTTACTAATCTCCAATAATACAGCGATTAGTTTCTATCACAAAAAAGTATGTAATTATTTTAACAAAATAATGTAACTATTAGTGTTAACAATTACTAATTATATACTCGTACATGAATATAAATGTGCGTATGCATATTATTAAATTAATTGTGGATAGTATTTAATAAGGTTTTAGAACTGTAAACTATATAAAACTCTAAATTAATTGTTATTCTATCTTTTAGACTTTAAATAGAAATAAAAATTTATTATATTGATAATTTTCTATTTTCATGATACGTAGCTAAGATATAATTGAATAAATTAACGCTAGCCCGTGATCGAAGAGGCCAAATGGAAGTACGGAATATTACTTGTCCTATGACAGTCAAAGCAATAGCTACTGAGTAATAATTGCATTGATACCAAGACATTAACCTAAATAAAACGACTGTAACACAAAACCGTAGCTTCCGCTTTTCCTAAGCGGTTTTTTCATTGTCTTCTCGACATTAATGATGACTGTTTTCAGGCCCAAAGCTGCGAGTTTAAATTGATGAATTGAGATTTATCACCACACATTTTTTTATTATATTTTAAAAGAAATGGAGCGATTGCATTGTTTTTTTTTGATAAAGAAACAAAACCATTTATAAGACAATAAAACAAGTAATCTGTTAAATTTCGTAATCCTTTATATTTTATAATTGCAATATGATTATTTTTTTTAATACTATGATTAATGTTTATTTGTTATATCTACTCGCCTTAACAGTTTATATTCTACTGTCTATTTTTATCCTATTTAAACAATATACATCTGTCACGAGGATAAAGTCGCGAAAAAAAAAGCTAATTACAATGGTAAAATAGTTTTATATAATATTTAAGTATGCAGTAACGTTGCATATGGATTATTTTATTCATGTAGAATCAGAATTAAGGTCAGATCCTAATTAAATTATAACCATTTTCATGGACCATCTTTTGCAACTCATGGAATTGCAATTTATTTTTTCGCTGACATGGACCCCTTGGAGATCATAGTTGACCCCTAACAGTCTATATAAATCCCTTTGTGTATTATCTTTTTAGTTACTGAGCAGTTTTCTTGAACAATTTTATATGTTGTCTCCAATATTTTTATAGTTTTAACCAACTAGTTGTGTTCTAGCACTTTTGCTGTATTCTAGCTTACTAGTTTTGTGATATTTTTTTATAATAGGCCAAAATTAAACGAAGAAAATAAATTATTTGTGTTGTTGTTATTTGTATTATAAGTTTATTATTGTAATCTTTTGGAAAAAATAATAAAGAGTAGCTATCTATCTACCTACTTAACCTATAATACTATAAAGAACAATAGATACTACATAATAATGTTAATGGCAGGTACACCACATTTATATCGATGCCTGTAATATTCTAAAGCCAGAACCCTCGTAACATTAACTTTTTTTTACAAAAGCATAAAATTTTACTGGCTTAATTTAAATCGTGTAATTTTTGGCTAGCTCTTAATAATAATGGGTACATTAATCAACCACAAATAAAGGATGTAAAAGCATGCGTCCCAAAAAAGGTACAACCGCAAGGGTTACGAAAGGAGTAATAATCTAAACGTGCTGGAAGACTGATAACAAACATGGAATGTTTTTTGAATTACAGAACCGTGAAATGAAGTATCTACCTGGGACAAGGAGGCACAATGTGAAAAATTCCTACAATTTTGCTCGAGATAAATCTGGATTTACGTGAGAATTGAATCCTTAAATCATGTAGTAAACTTATAAGGTACATTTTCACTTTACTAACATTAATATTGCTGCTAATTGAGTAAGAGCGGGAACTCTCTTTCTCTAGTATCAAGATATATATTCGTAACACCTATACTTAACTAGGTACATATATTATTATCATCATATTCAACAACTCACCTAGTGCCTTATGTCTTATTCAGATTGGTTTTATTGATATAGTATTTATTTATTCTTTACTAACCACATTATAAAAAATGTTTGGTACAACAAGCGAACTTAATGCCATATATATATATTATATATATATATATATATATATATATATATATATATATATATTATCAATCTTACCCAATTTTTATTTTTAATTAATATTATTAATAATCAATATTTAGAAAAAGAGAAATATAATTATACGGTTAAAAATATTGAAAACTGTTGTAGGTAAATAGTTATAGATTATTAGTATTTGACTATTTCCAAGTTTTTGATACTTTATGACCACCGTAATAGTATATTTTAAGCAATTTTAAACAAAAAAAGGTTCTCAATTCGCCTGCTGTTATATTTGTTACACATATGTTTTCTCTAAAAGCTAAACAAATTTCCATAATTTTTTACAATTATTCACTTCCAGGTTAGTCTCTTTTTTATTGTGTTATTATCGACTTCGCTGTTTTTTACAAATTGTAAACTTTAATATAATATATTATAATATGCCAAAGAAATTATAGTGTATGGCAACATATTGATCATGAAAATGCCTACGAATGACATCATGGGTACCTTAGACGGCACAGTGTATTCTGTGATATCCATAGTGCTCCTATCAATCAGCAACGATTTTTATTTTCTGTTAGGTGAATCATCAATTTATTTGCTATTCTACGTAATATACGGTCAATGTTCTATTATATACATAATACGGCTAAAACCTTTAAATGGGATAATTGTTTATACTGGATTGGTTTTTTATTTTTGATAATTATATATATCAGCATTACACACATGATCCTTATAATAATTTAAATAATAAAAAAATTGTAAAATAGTTTTTAGTTTTATGTAATAACAAAATAATGTAACTTAAAAACCAACCAGACACACATACAAAACAATACAAAGACACAAAGGATAGTTATTATTAAAAACTTTCACGAAGGTGACTCATTTAACGTTTCCTCATTTTGGAATCTTTAGTACCTGATAAAAAAACAATACCCGTTCGTCGCATTTCTTCCTGTACAATTCTTCTATATTCATCTTCAGTCGTCTTAATAAAAGCATCTTCATCGACAACTCCTAAAGGTGCAGAACCTGCTTCATCTTCCGTTTTTAATTTCAAACGGATTTCTTTCACTCGTGTCTCCAATATATGTTCACGTCGAGTCTCTCTGTCAAACATCTGCAACATTAACTGCTTATCCCTATCACCAGATAAAATCAAATTATCCGAAAATGATAGTAGTGATGTGGATCCCTTTGTATCTCCTATTGCAACTAATCGTCCATCTTCTTGTGGTTTTATTTTCAACAAAGGATATTTTGATATTGGCAATGTAATAATAGGATCATGGTGTCTGCGTAAAAGATCCCAATATCGAAATTTCCCGTCTGCGCTTACAGACATATAACTTGAAACTCTTTGCGGAGCCCATACTACATCTAATATTTGATAGCGATGACTTTTCCCAAATATTATAGGGGAAATATGAATATCATCACTCCAAATATGAGCAGTCCAATCACCGCAAGTTATAAATATTTTTGAAGTACAAGGACTTCGATGTATGGCTTTTACAGGTCCATTATGCGCGTGGTATATAGCACTCATTTTTTCTTGATGAGATTTTCCCTTGCGGTTAACGTTTATAACCATTCCAGTATCAGTTCCACATAGAAATTTCGTTGGGAAACTTCTTTCGTATTGTAAGCAACTTACACCTTCAGCATTCGCTAAGCTTATTTTTTCTCCTGGAGGGATACAAACAGACATTATTAATGAATCTATTGGCGTTGATATATTTCTAATATCCCACCACATACACTTTCCGTCAGACGAACCACTAAAGAATTCGGTATTCAGTCGTGATTGAATATATAAAACTGAAGATACTGGGTCTCGATGTGCTAAATGTGTAGGGCTTATTATATTTGGTACACATTTAACACGAATATCAAAAACACATACCGTACCATCTTCTAAACCTCCAACTATAATAGAAGGATGAATAGGAGAACATACTGCTTGCCAACATGCAACTGGGGGTAAGAATTCAGCCATTGGATAAAGAGGATTCTCTATATTCCATATGTAACATTGCAGATTGTTATTCAAAGGTACCTTCACAGGATACTTTTTGTTGCAGTAAGCTATAACTAATTTTGAATCTTCTTCGTGTGTCCAACTGATAGAAGCAATTCGACGGCTACTGGGGTCTTTATATATGTTATTAGTACGAATATATGATCTTTCCACTGGTAGTTCTGGTACCATTTCTTTAAAGAATAGATCATACATTTCTATTGCGTTGTTTTGATTTATATAATGCTCAAATGTAGGGTATAGATTCATTACAGCATCTACGTAAGTATCATCACGTTCTATACGTCGACGATATCGAGAAGTAAGTTCTTCGTCTGCAAAATTAATATCTTTAGGCCAACCTCCTTCAGCATGATTAACGCCTTCATTGTGAAGAATAATTCTTTTTGTATTAATATACACCTCAGACTGACAAACAGAAGCCTGAGTCTCGTGATTAACCGGATTTCTTAAAATATATTGTTTTTGTTCCCTTTTATTTGGATTAATAGAATCTATCATATGACTGGGAACTTCACTAAACATGGGTTGTTTCCCAAAATTTTTACGTATTTTGATATATGAGTATACGATGTTATCCATGTTCAATTTATGACTATTTCAAATTTGAAGTTAAAGGAATGTTTTAATACGAATTCTTATAGTTCAGAACAATTAGCTTAGGGAGCAATTATATAACTGACATTCTACGTCATGACTTTTTTATAATGAAAAATCAGATAAAAAGGTAAAAAGAGTCTAAAGAAAGAGTATACCATAAAACTACTATGAGCAAATTAACTAATAATAAATATACCTTCTTATTTACGAGGAATATCAATAACATATCTGTTTAATTTGAACGGTTAACGTAAACTTAGTACTAAGTGCCTCAAAACACAAATTTTATTAACTACTGTTTAAAATTTATAGAGATATCATTATTTAAAAAAATATATCGATGGCTAACATAGTAATTGTAATGTTAAATCTTACTTATTTGTGAAAAGTCAAGTTCTCTTGTAGATCAGGTCAATCGCGGTAAACAAAATTATAATAATGTAATTTGTTTTAATTTATATATATATATATATATATATATATATATATATATATATATATATATATATATATATATATATATATATTAATATATATATATATATATATATATATATATATATATATATATATATATATATATATATATATATATATATATATATATGTATGAATTAGTTTTAATCAAATATTACTAAACTGATAAACAAGACGCAAGAAATATTTCCAATCTTGCTCACACTTCCATGTTTTTCTTATAATGATGTCTCGTTTTAACTTTTAACGTCATTGGATGTCATATCTATTAAGACCGCAGGTACTATGCTTGATCTATGGATGAAAATAGTAAATTATATCTTTGTGAAAAACTGTATGTAGATTTCATAAAATACCTAATTATGACGTACGACTTACTGATTAACGACGTGATAGGTTTTTTGTGTCATCCTATATTGCCGGTATGCAGAAAAGTATTTTTGAATAATCTTAGGGTAAAGAAATAGAATGGGTCGTGCAAAAATCTGTTTATTATGATATGACAAAGTTATCTTGTGTGATAAAAATATTATTTACTACATATAAAATACCTTTGTCATATATAAAAATGTTGTCTTAGAAGCTTAGTATAAAATTAGATAATATTGTATAATAAGCAAGAATATAATATGAAACCTTACCGATAAAGTTTTGAGAAGTATGATTAGATACTTCTTATATATAAAAAGGTAACAAGAATTTTATGACTTTATACTAATATTGATAGAAAAACGAATTGTATACTTCTAAAAATAGTTATAATAAATACATGAACGTACTGGTTCCGTTTCAAATACTTTTATTTCAAACCCTTCACGGCTCTGGATGGCGCTCCTTGATACCATTAAGAGACTCCAGACTAAAACATCTTTAAAAAAAATGTTTATGCTCACTTTTATGCTTTATCTAAACAGTAAGTATTATCTATTATTCTGATATTTGTGTATAATATAGTACATTTTATATATGTGTAACTGTATTTTTTATTTATGTTTATTTATTTGTTTATATATGTAAATTCTATTATTTATGTATATCAATTATTAACAGAAACTCATTTGAGAATATTAACAATTCCCTAAGGTTGACTGGGAGAGAATGCTTTTAGCATTAAGTCCACCTTGTACACATACATGTACTAATGAATAAATAAATAAATGATCAGTTTCGTCGTTCGAAGCATTTTCAAAAGTTTTTTTTTTACATTACAAATGTAAATGATCATATCATTCATTAATATTTATCAAAAACGAAATGGAATCTGAGATACATCAATTTTTATCTTAATGTATAATATGACAATGTTCATTCATACTAATCATAAAAATCCATCAACGTATTTTAAGGAAATTTTGTAAATATGTATTGTTTGCTTCAACTTGTAAGATAGAATAGTATTTATCTCGATAAGAAAATAAGGATCCGGTAGGTGGCAGCAAAGGGGCGAAACGACGTCTGCTAAATCTGCTACTATACATATTAAACGAAAACCGAACAACAGTATAACACTGCTTATTGAAAGTTCCATTTTATAAACACGTTTCATTATAAATAGACGTGACACAATATCTGCGAGTAAGATACGTTTAATTTATAGGTTTCCTAACCCTCTACAAATATTATTGTCAGTGTTGTGGAGACAAACAATATTGAGTCAGCAATTTAGCAATAATATGAGTTCAGTGGGGCGTCATGTTGTCTGCCAAATAAATTTCGGTACAGTATATAGTTTGTTGCGTAAACTTATGTCGACTTATACAGGCGCTGGTGCCCATCTACCGAAATTGAGTCACACTGTCACACTGCGCGTACAATGTATGTAAACGTTCTAAGTAAATTGAATTACCAATGTAAAGTGAACTCCAAGCCTTCAAGGGGTAAAACATTGTTTGAGACTATATAATTTGGTTTAATGGTCCTTCGGATCGTAAAGGGAACATGGGTGTTTTTTCAAAGAAATTTTCCTGACAGTGTAGTTTTATCTGAATTAATTCTAGATTTTGTTGCAGCAGGTAATATAATTGAGGAAGGTAATATTAATGATGTAATGTAATATTGATACAGAAAGAGTACGAGTATAATATGTCACCATTACGTTTTATACATAGGATATCCTAAATAAAAACAATATATATTATTATAACAATATATCAATACAATAGGAGAAAAGAATACTCTATACTAAATTATATAGTCATCGTTTTAGGCTATATCCTATTCTCATCTTACAAGCAGAGATTTGTGATTGAAATAGACATTTGGTATTCTTTTCCTTTCTAAAGATTATAGCACTAAACTTCATAAAACTATTCGTATAAAAAATATCTTTTCTTTTTTTTATACAACTTAGAATGGCAAACAAGCTAATGCAAGGCTCACCTGATGGAAAGTGGTAACCGTCGCCTATAGACATGAGCAGTACCATGGACATAATAGAGTATACTGTTTCGCCCATAATACCCCCCATGCGTTGCTATTCCTGAGGACTCAGGTGTTATTCCTCTGTACCCTGTAAATTCACGCCATATCCCATCCTTCAAACTGAAACACAGCTATGTAAACACGACTGCTTCACGGTTGAAACACGAATGGGACAGAGGTACCCAAGCGATCGACTTTTGTACAAACTCTCCCTCTGGTAAATCTCTTAATAAGTCGTTGGAATTATTACAAATCCAGGCAATTACCTTATTTTTATAGATGAATTATAAATCAATCAAAGTATTTATATATTATTAATTATTAAAAACTATGTGGAGAAATTTTTTAAGAGTTCTTTAATAATATAAAATACTTTAGTTTATTTTTTTTCTCTTCCTGTTTTATATCTGCCGTGCTATTGAGCTAATAAGCTGTCTACATACTCTCCATATTTGCACACTTGGCGCCGTTTGCACAGGTCTAATGAAAATATTTCATTATCTCACACACGGTATTTGTCGAGCTGTTTCCTTGACAGTGTAATTCTCTTTGTTGCCCAGCTTCCCTTACATATGCATTGTCCTCATTGAATTTTCAACATATGACGTATTATTATTTAATATTAGTGGTCGGTAGTGATAAAGTCAAAATACAATATGTCGCCATTTGTTATCTCCTCCAGAATATTATAAGAAGAAGAATTAAAGTAACAAAATACAAAAAAGGAAAATCATAATAATATAAAAAAGTTTTAACTAGAATGATATCTGTATAAGATACATATTTAAAAAAATCATATTCCATAAAAAAATTTACTACGATGTTGGCAAAACCAGTTGTTTTGATTTAAAAACTAAATCACTGAACCAATTTTTATAAAATTTCTATGGAATCTGTAACCATATTCTTTCAGATAAAAAAGAATATTCCAAATCGGTTTATAACTGACACAGCCATGAGGTAAAAAACGTAAAAAAAATATGACCGAATTGAGAATCTCCTTCTTATTGCATTAATATATTAGATATCTTAATAAAACCAATCGATGCTAAATCAACATCTTTTAGAAATTTTGTTTGTCTGTCTGTATATTTGTTTCATATTCCATGACTGTTATCACTTTCTATCAGATGGGTCGTTAGTTTGTTTGCCATTCTAAGTTCTAATATTGATAGTCTTTAGGGAAAACCACCACAGGGAGCTCATTCCATAGCCTTGGCGTTCGCGGCAGAAAATTCCTTTGAAACCACACCGTGCCTCACTATTTAGATTCCAGCGTGTGAGGATTAATTTTCTGTCGATAGTGAGTGGTGCGATGATGAAAAGAGGCTGTCGGCATTATTTTAAACAATTCCTCAGAATCCGTTAAATAAGCGGTAGAACATACAAAGAGAGGCAAATTCTCGTCTAAGATTTAAGGGCTCGATAACGCCTGTGTGTTTAGGATCATCGACTATTCTCATAGCACGTCTTTGAACCGAGACAAGAGAACCAAGCTGATAATAGGGAACTCTAGCCACACAGATGAGAATAGTACTCCATAAGGAGCTGACTTACGATTTGTACAATAATCGTTTTTTTCTCAGGATGAACTACCGTTTTACTCTATTGAGCACCCCGAGCGTTTTGGACGCCAGTTTGACCCTATCTATAAGATGACGCCGGAACTCTACAGTGCTAGAAATATTGTCACTGAGTATCCCTATACTTTTGGAGATAGTGACTTATGTGTTTTGAATGTTTATAAATGTATATATAATAAAATATATAATACACATAAATGTTTATATAACATCAAGGCTTCCTGCATGCAATATTATGTGAGAATATTAATGGTGAATGTTCGAGAAAAGGTATTGGCTCCATAAATGTTTAACGAAACCGATAGATACAAAGTAAGAATCCCGTAGAGGGTTATCTTCTGACTGCTAAGAGTGTTGTAGGTTTCCGTTTTCTTATAATGCTTTAGCGCTCGATTTTATTTTCACATAAAATTTTGTTTCAACTAGAAAAATAAAAATGAGTAACCCTGCAGCCCGTGGGTCTACCATGAAATCTACGAATTATATCAAAATTTCGACCCTAAACTTCGTGCATACAATGGAATGTATTTATATATAAATCGCATCTGTGGATAAAGAGTAG